GATTAGTCACTCTTGTTATTAGCATAACTCGATTAATCTTTGCATGACGTAATGGACAGTTTTTCTACTATTTATGCACAATCGTGCTAATACAAAGGATGAAAATTGTGTATCTGCATTTTGGGTGTTGAGCACGTGTGACTGAATGCATGATTTACCATACATTAACTTTAGGTGATTGAATGTGTGAATCTCCCCATAGAAAATTAGTAGTAGAAATAGATTAGGACTACAGTGAGAGCGTCAATTTGGCTGAACTATGATCTAGAATGGAACGCCTCTAGTAGACTGAGCACATTAGAATTGTAAGAGACGATAGAGGGTGTGGTCGCTAGTACTCTTCACCGATCTAGACTTAAGAAACTTGGATATGTGAATTCATGTCAAGACCACCAAACCACCCTGGAGACCTAGACGACCACCACAACAACCCTAGAAGACAAAGGTAACCCTTTAGGCCGATAGTATCTGCAACAATATTTGCAGAGCTTTCACTTTCCTTTCCATTCTGATACGATACAGTTGAGTTAGGCGTGAGGTTGATTAAAGACATGTGACTTGATAGTTCGCTTGAATTACTCTACACGGTCAATCCATCCGAAAATTGGGCATTGGTCATGCAGGTAGGATTGCGCACCCAACCTTGGGTACTACATGGACTATGGGATGGGCTCGCCAACAAATAATACTTGTAGGGATGACTAGGACGAGAGAGAGAGAGAGAGAGAGAGAGCCATTGGTTCAAAAATCTTGAAACTCCCAATGAGAAGCTGAAATCCTTCCACGTGGAAACCTCACAGTCACGAAAATCCCATTCTCAAATCCCAAAACCCCTCACCAACACAAACAAATCCCTTCTTCTCCGGTCCTCCATTGAAGTACACTCCAATCTTCCCCTCACCATGTCGTTGGCCTCATCGCAGCTCAGCTTTCTCTCCACCACCCTCTCCTTCTCCTCCGCCCCCACCCCTCGCCGGTCCAACAACATCCTCCATTCTTTCCATCCTATAATCGCCTCTAAACTTCCTCCCCCCGCCGATGATCCTAAGTAAGTTCGATTCCGCGATTTCGTTTCAGTTTTGAGTCATTTAGGTTTCTGATTGATTGATTGAATCGATTTCTGGTTTTTTTTATGTGTAGTGGATTAGAGAGGGGAAATGAGAATCGACTAGCGAAGCTTGCGATTGTTACTCTGGCGGCTGGGGTTTTGTCATTGGGATCGGTTCATGATGCGTCGGCCGCTAAGACCGGTGGCCGAGTTGGCGGCCAGGCGTTCCGATCGGCGGCTCCCCGGTCTTCATCGCCGAGAATCAATAACAATTCCAGGTATCAAAGATTGCTAGTAATTTGCTTTGAATTTTGTTAGTTGAGTTGATGATTGGCTTGAACTTTGATGCTCTGTAGAACAGTATATGAACTGAAATTTATGAAACTATTACACAAATGATTGAGACTACATTGAAACTACAAATTATAATCATGAGATTTCTAGAAAAGTTAACTCAGAATCCATTTTAAATTTGATGGATATAATGTAAACTAAATTTGAATAGCTAAAAGTTTAAAGATTAAAATAGGATGAATTCTATAGTATAGAGACCGAAATGATAGTTTAAGTAGACCTTCGCAGTCAAGAGACAAGAGAACAAAATTGTTCTTGTACACAATCTAGATGAAACAAAAACGTGTATTTTTTTGAAAATTACTTCATTTTGCTCGACTACTACTACGAAGGTCAAATCTTATACCTATTTATCTAGTAGGAAAATACGTCAAAAGATGTCAATATCGATTATCAATACATGTGAGCTTTCACCCCTGTTTGAATACATTAATGTATCAAATTATTCATGTATCTCAACTATTCATGTATTCAACATGTGTCTAGATTAGTTCAAACCGTATTAGCCATGGAAGGCTCGCTTCTTATGCTATAATCATTGCCCACACCTTAGAGTTTGAACTTTAGAAGCTTGAAAGATATCTCTAAACGGTTTACGCCCTTACTATAAGGGTCACTTTTGGGTGAATAAGAGTGTGTTTGAAATGACTTCTAAAGTGTTTAAAAAGACATTTTTAAATATAACCGCTTGTTTCTGATCTTACTTCTTATGCTATACTCATTGTCACACCTTACGAACTTTTGGAAAAGGCTTCCGCTACAATACTCTAAGAACTTAGAGCTTGAGCTTTAGAAGCTTGAAAGTATCTTTAAACCGTTTAAGTTTTTACTATAAAGTCACTTTTGAGCGAGTAAAAGTGTGTTTGAAATGACTTCTTAAGTGCTTAAAAAGACTCTTGCAAGTACAACAGATCGTTTATGATATTGCTTCTTATGCTTTACTCATTGTCCACACCTTGCTAACTTTTGGACAAGGCTTCCGCTACAACACTCTAAGAACTTAGAGCTTGAACATTATAAGCTTGAAAGATATCTCTAAACCGTTTAAGCCCTTACTATAAAGGTCACTTTTGGGTGAATAAGAGTGTGCCTAAAATGACTTCTTAAGTGCTTGATAAGACTTTTTTAAATACAATGAGTCGTTTCTGATCATGTTTCAAATCTATGTTATCTGTTTGATTCGACAGGACAAATATCTACATAAACCCGAGAGTAGCGCCTCCTCTAGTAGGTGGGTATGGTTATGGTGTGCCATACTATGGAGGAGGATGGGGATGGTCACCATTTTCATTCTTTGCACCAACCCCAAGTGTAGCTGTAGGCATTGGAGGAGGTTTTGATGTTCTTGTGCTCTTCATTTTTCTTGGAACTGTTGCAGCTTTTGTGAGAAGGTTCCTTGGAGGAAGAGGAGAAGATGATGATGATTATTAATGCTGCTAAAGATCTTATGAACTTTAGGTTTTTGGTGGGGAGATATACTTTTTGTTGGTAAAAATTGTCACATAATGTATTTTTATGTGGACAAACTTTTTGTATTCACAAAGCATATAATGTATAAAATGTATAGTTATTTATATGACTTTTTTTTTTTTTTTGGTACTGAAATAATATGGAAATTCAAAGAAATTAAGAAGAAAATGTGATCTGATTTTGGAAAATGTTTGAATGCAGTCGAAGGTAGCGAACCAGACGATGACATGTGTTAGTAGAGAGGAGGAGGGGCACGTCGTTGCTAGCAAGGACACGTGTCAAGTTGGGAGACGCTTAACACGTCACAACGCTAGTAGCAAACCCGAACCACTAACTCGAGAACCAATGTACAACCTAGTTTAGCACCTACGACCCAACCTACTTTAGAATCGTCAATTCGCATGCATCACGTGTCGCGACCAGAAAATCAAACAAAATTAGCACTCGGGGAGTCTCGAATGTACACCCTAGGAGCTAAACATGCCAATTCCGCACATGTCATTCCCTGGACGCGATTAACCTTCCTCAACCACATGTGGTTACTTGCACGTGGCCCCGCGCGTGCAACCTACCCTTCGCGTGTAAAAGCTCATGACACGAATGGTGAGGTTTCCACACCCTCAAAATTTTAAAACGCATCCATCAAGGAAAGGTTTCCACACCTTCATAAGGAATGTTTTGTTCCCCTCTCGAATTGAGGTGGGATCTCACATTCCTAGACCCTAATAAAAACACATGATAACTTATTGGGTTAAGAAAGCAATAAGAGCCTACAAGTAAGTTTCTTTCCGAATATTTTTGTATTTTTTTCCTTCAAATATCGGTTTGGGTAGGGAGGGGCTCAGAAGCTGCGTTGTCACATACGAGTGTTGATTCGAGGTGTTAATTAGTTTGTATTTTTTTGTGGATAGTTTTTTTTATTCACTTTATATCTCGTTCCCAATAAATAACTAGAACAACACCTATTTTCCATTATTTTTTATTTGGATTTTGGTTTTTCAACTATAGAATTATATTGCTTTCGTCTCATCTTTTAGTCCTGGTCCGGAATCGAAGCCTAAAAAAATCGAGTCATAGCAATAATATTAGCCATACTTGGAGATTTAGTTCTATTTTTAATTTTTTACAAACAATTTTTGTTAACTTTAATTAATAGTTCTTTTTTATTAAAAAAGAAAGAGAGAGAGAGAGAATCTGATGGACGATGGAAAACTTCGTTATTATTAAAATACTAGTTTAATATTAAAATTTAGATTTAGTAAACAAATCCGTTGTCGTCCAGCGGTTAGGATATCTGGCTTTCACCCAGGAGACCCGGGTTCGATTCCCGGCAACGGAACATTTTTTTCTTTTTTTTTTCGTATTTTTATTTACACTTTTCTTATTTCTTTTAGTTGATGGAAACATGAGAATTTTCAACAAATTTAGAAGAGAAGCTGCTTTTGTACTCAACCTCATAACTCCAAGAATATTTCAATTTTCGTTATTACTACGGATTGTATGGTACCTATACGATGCCTTCAAGTACAATATGAATTGAATCCAAGAAATCGCTCGCAACAAAATTGACCTTTGAAGTATGAACTATGTTTCGAATGATATCAAGTTGTCAGTTTCATTATTAAAACTCACCCAAACGAACATCGGAATTACTCAAGATTAAGTCTTTCCTAATCATTCTATCTTCAAAATCGACCTTATTCAAATATGGTCTCATTTCATTCATGTACCCATTTTTTACTCAGGTGTCACATAAACATTGAAAAAATATTATTACTATTAGTATATAAATAAAATTGTCAGACAATTTTTATCCATATGTCGACAGTAGGTACATTTTAAAATTTTATAAAGATTTCAAAATTGTTAATATTAATTTTAAAATTTTCATTAGTACTCACTTTTTAAAAATGTTGAAATGTGTTAATAAAACTTTTTAAATTTCAATATATTCTCGAAACAATTAAAAATTAATAGAGTGTTTCTCAAACAGAGTACTAACGGCTTTCATCCAAAAGGATATTTTTAATTCTAAACATGTTTATATATAATAAGATTACTAATTTGGAAGGTAAAAATGAAGAAAGAAAACAAAGAACATAATAATAGAGAAAGCAAAACAATTACATGAATTTATAACAAAATGGTAAAGGTAAATATGGTTATTTACCAGAAAATATACTAAAATTTTATGTTCATATGAATTTTAGGAGGCCATAGCCATCCACACAAAAGCCACATACAGTTCTATTTTACTCTCTCCTCCAAAATCCATCTTCCAATCCAAAATATGGAAAACAAATAAGAACAAGAGAGGGCAGAGCAGATTCTCCTGCCAACATCCACTACTTATTTCAAACAATTCACCTGCAACACACAACAATGCACCAATATTATTATTGTACCTGAAAAAGGAGACTCAATCGATTCGATTTCATCGTTTCAAATTATACTATTGAGAGGAGTTTAGTTACTTAAATCCGAGTTTGAGATGACTCATGAAAAGTACTTTTACCCCATGAAAGCGGAAAAGAGTATCTTTTCTCGAACGTCGTTCCAAACTCGGCTTTAGAACTCTTTGAAACTATTAGTAAACAAGTAAAGCAATGCCCACAAACGTGTTTATGGGCATGTTTTATAGTGATTTTGAAATGGTTCAAATCACTTTTGTCGTATTCAGAATCACCCTCAAACACGTTTTCATTCAGTGGATATCGTAGATCTCTTAGTACCACCCTTTTTAAGCAATGTTAACCACAAATAATCAGTTTTTTTCTTAGTACCTTGTCTGTGGAGCAAGACTAGCTGAAAAATATGAACAGCCATGATAAAGCCAAGAGAAGTAAAGTGGTACCTGAAACATGAGCAGGAAAACAGAATGATGAAGTTTTTCAGATGCCATGGAGGACTTTGTGCGGATCGAGCTGCCCGCTACAATAACTTGAGGGAACAGCAGAGAGTTCGAGTCTTCCTCTCCATTCTTCGCCAGGTTTCAGTGCAATAGGCTTTTCGATGGCAGCAGCCTCCACACACAGCATGAACTTGTACTCTTCATCTCCAAAGTCAGCCATTGCCTTTGCTTTCTTATCCCAAGGATTCCAGACCACTGCACCAGTAAAATACCAATGTCACCTATTTATTGCCTTGGCTTTCTTATTTATCCCAAGGATTCCAGACCACTTCCATTGCCCAGCCATCTTTTTTTTTTTCAAAAAAGAAACACTATATCATAGAAGTAATGAAATATTCAAAAGGGATGGAGGCATCCATGGAAAATCAGGGTTACAAAAGAAAATAAGACATTATTCAGATCTTGAGTGTGAGATCCCACGTCAATTGAGGAGGAGAACGAAGTATTCTTTATAAGGGTGTGGAAACCTCTCAAAACCTTGAGGGGAAACCCGGAAGGGAAAGCCCAAAGAGGACAATATCTACTAGTGGTGGGCTTGGGCCGTTACAAATGGTATCAGAGGCAGACACCGGGTGTTGTGTCAGTGAGGAGGCTAAGCCCCGAAAGGGGTAGACATGAGGCGGTGTGCCAGCAAAGACGTTGAGCCCCGAAGGGGGGTGGATTTGGGAGGTCTCACATCGATTGAAGAATGGAATGAGTTCCAACGAGGACGTTGGACCCCGAATGAGGGTGAATTGTGAGATCCCACATCGGTGGGGGAGGAGAACGAAACACCCTTTATAAGGGTGTGGAAACCTCTCCCTAGTAGACGCATTTTAAAAACTTTGGGGGAAAGCCTAAATAGGACAATATCTACTAGCAGTGGATTTGGACTATTACAAGTAGTTCCCAGGACAATTACAAGTAGTTCCCAGACAGAAGGATCAAGAACCAACTATGACTGATGATAAAAGTGGGGAGGCTATTGTACGTCTCAGACTCGCTCGTTTCTGGTGATCACAAAGGAAAAGAAAAGAAAGAAATAAAACAGACTTGGGAATTTCTTACCAGCATCTGGAAGTCCTTCCTTTCGAACCACAAAAGTCCTCTTCTTCTCATGATCCAGAATTGCAATCTTAGTAGGAGTGCTAAGATATATCTTGTCCACCTAATTGAACCCAAACACAAAAGAGAACGCCTGAATAAAATGCAATGACTAAGAGAATGAGAAGAGATATACAGTACTTGAACTCACTTCTGATTCAAAAGTTAAAGCATCCCCCTGTTCAGTAAAACGCTCTCTATGTTGCAAGTTGTCAAGATAGTCCAAGGTCTCCAGACCTTCCACCCGAACTTCACTGGCCATAGGCAACTATCTCTCTTAGATACAAGATAAACGAACTTTGAATTACTCTCAACAAATTTTCAAATTTTCAAATTTTATTCTGCCCATAAATGAAAATGAACTGCAACAATAGATGGTTTACCATAAACAAAAAATAATAATAATAATAAATAAATAAAAAGAACTTTTCTAAAATGAGGAATAAAAAGGAGACCTGAGGGAAGCAAAGTTGCACAAAAGATGGAAAAGATAATTACAAGAAAACCCTTCAGAAGAACAAGGAGCCGAAAAGAAAATATCCCTTTACAAACAAAACCATAAAATCTCCTAAGAAAGAGATGAGATTCACTACATCAAACATTTCCCTATTAGATCATGGATGCACAAAACCAAGAGAATGCAAGGAAAAACAACTACACCTATAGAAGGCAAGATAGATGCCACTAAATGCAACCTTGTCAAGGATAAACGATGCAAATGAGAAAGGATATACAAAGGACTCCCTCCCAAACTGTGTTCTTAACATTCCCAATAAAGGATTTCATAAACTAAGAGAAGAAAGGAAAAACGAACGAAATCGTAGTACAGAGGTTACTAAATGTGCCTTTAAATCCACCACTAGTAATATAATTGAAGGGATGGAAACCATACTTGTTCACAATAATCCTATGTCAAAGAGGGTCAGGCTCCAAGAGAAAACTCCTCAACCACTTAGCTAAAGGTGATTCATCGTACAATCTCAAGTTTCCTATCCTCAAAACCCCATGGTCCACTAATTTTGACACTACCTCCCACCTCAACAAGTGAGAACCCCCACTCTCCTCATCTCCTTCCAACAAAAAAAAAAAAAAAATTCTCATGAACTTTTCAAGCTCAAGCTAACATAATCAAAGACTTTAAGCAGGGATTGGAATTTCGAGACCCATTCATAACAGACCGGACAAGTCAGAAGAGTCGATCAGCCTCAGTTTGAGAAAAACAACTTCTCAATGATGAACGACATTTTTAAATCTTCAACATACAAGATTCCAAAACGTCAAGCTCTTGGGATTGTGACCAAGAGAAGTCCCAAATGAAAAGAAGTGAAGCTACTCACATCACATCCTACCGAATAGGCCCACGCCAATAGCTTAGAATCATCATAATTCAACCCAATGACCAAATACTTCCCTCTATTAATCTTAAGGCCATAAATGGATTAAGAAAAAACAAAATACGGTTAAGATTAACAACATTATCCTTGCGAAAGCAAAATATATATTGTGTCATCAGCAAACTGTAGATGCAATAACGCGTTTCTCCACTCCCCTAGAGATCAAATGCTAAATCCATGCACCACCAACCAAAAGAGGAAAGAAGAAATGTGGTCTCCCTACCTCAAACTTCTATCCTCTAGGAGCAACATCTTACCCCTTGGTTTAACTATTATTATAAAAGAACGGTCTTCCTACCTTAGACCTCTAGAAACAAATATATTACCCCTTAGCTTACTATTAACAATAATATAGTAATCAACCGTTCTTATACAAACCAAATTCATGCTCACCATTTTAAAAAAGAGCATTTTTTTCATAGCATCTTGTCTAGAAAATCCCAATCCACATGATTATAAACTTTTTCAAAATCAATCAGGATATTGACTCCTTCCTACTTATGACGCATATAATCCTCAACAACCTCATTAAGAATAATGAATTTGATCCAAAATTTATCTTCATGCAACAAAAGCCCCTCAAGAAATAGAAACCATAGCGGGAAGAGCTTTATTCAACCTATCAGATAAAACCTCAGTAATGATCTTAAATATCAAAACGTAACCAAGATAATTGGTCGAAACTCTCTAACCTTCTTTTTGCTCCTTAGGAATCCAAAAACTAGAAGTTTTATTTGTGTGGAAGCGATTGTACCTCTCTCATAGAGATCACTAAAGACCTTCCACAAATCATTCTTCAAGCAATCTCACTTATCTTGAAGGAAAGCCATCATAAAGTCATTCAAAGCTTGCCACCTAACCTCTATTATAGAGCCAAAGACTACCTTACAAATCTCTTCCAAATTGAAAGGTGCCTCCAATTCACCTTACTAAGTTACCTTGCTCAAATGAATCACATTACTGAGTTACCTTGCTCAACAAATTTCAATTTAGAAAATGAAGGAACTTCAGGACCTCATAGAAGTAGTCTAGTTTAAATTACAGAAAATTTAAACTCGTTACTTGTACTTCCTCAATATTATACCAATATTCAGAGGTAAATCTAATTATGCAGATTATTTCAATTTGATTGATAAAGAAGGAAAGAGAAACCACAAGTGTTGTAAAGTTTCTCACTGAGGCAGTTGTCCTAGTTCACAACGTCAAATTTCTCACTCAGGTAGGTGTCCTAGCTTACAACGTCAGGTTACTCTCTCCCTCTCTCTCTCTCTCTCTCTGGGAAATAAAAAACATATCATTATTACCCAAAAAATAAAAAACAAAAAGGGAGGAAGACGAACCTCCAAACTAGCCAACATAGATACTTTTCCCTCCAATTGACTAGTTTATGAAAAGAAGACTAATCACACAAAGACTTTGGAAGAGTATACCATCTAGACATCCAAAGCATTACTTTATAAAAAGACTTGTTCAATAGCAAAAGAATCCTCAAAATTATATCCAAAGCATTGCTTTATAAAAAGACTTGTTCAATAGCAAAAGAATCCTCAAAATTTTCTCATATTTCTCTCTAACCAAATATAGCTCATAACACCACAAAAAAAAAAAAAAAAAAAAAAAAAAAAAAAAAAAAAAAAAAAAAAAAAAAAAAAAAAAA